TAAATACACCCATACACACATGAGTCGTAAAATTCAGTATTCGTCATTTTTAGATTCTAGGGTATATGACAATTTTTTTTTTAAATTTTCGTTTTGTTTTTAAAAATTAATTCACTTTATAGCTTTTCTTCAATTTATTATAAAGGATAGGAGTTAAATTTTGATTTATATATAATATGATATAAATTCATCATTCATTAATAATATTTTATGTATAACAAAAAAATTATTATTAATGTTCCAAATTTTAATTTTTTTAATGATTTGTCTTACCATTTGTTGTATATTTGTTGAATGCATAGCTAAATATTTCAATTATACACAATAAAGATTATGCAGAAAACAATTCAGCTGGCATGACAGCTAATTGCGAAAGAAAATTAGAGTCTTATTGCTCTTAACTCTTAGTACAAGCAGCCATTTTAAATTGACGTTAAAATAAATTTATTCTATGGTCTATTAGAAAATAACTATACTGAATCATTTATTGACGACTTCTAAGAGGTCGCTTTCTGAAAGAAACCTGTATTTTTGAGAACATAAACATACGTTGATATTGAACATCACTTTTTTAAGATGCCAGAGCAAATGCACAGAGCTCCAAAAATCCTCTAAAAGCATAGACGGTCACGTTTTAAAAGGCTGCTGACTACTTTTAATAAAGCTTGTATATTAATGTTCATTATACATTTCTCACATTTTTACAAAAATTTCTTTCAAAACAGCGATACTGTGGTTCAATTGCTTTAGAACTATGTGAAACTAATAAAATGGGCCCTATGTTATAAAAACCTAATTATATTCAGATACACACCTTTTGAACATGTTTGAAATCCATTATTCTAATCAGAATACTTTGTCTACAGAAAACATTGAATCAATATTAGAAATCAAAAGCTAAGTGAGATTAAAGTAGGAAGAGTCATATCGTCTAACACCATTTTAATTGAAGTAAACAGGTGCTTACTTTATCGTAAAGTGAACACCCGTTTTTCAAACAGCGAATGAAAAGAAAAAAGAGCCCACCAGAGCTCGAGCGGTAAAGTCGCTGAGCACTAATAGTTCGGTCCGGGGTTCAATTCCCGGCTAACGGCTAGCTGCACGGGCGTTTTCATGGTTTTCCCCGTGTGTAACTTGCATATGAGTCAGTTCCCTTTAAAAAATCCTCCACGAAGGCCTCCCTCCCCGTAGGGCAATAGCCCTAGTGTGCTTTGCTGTAACCGAATAAACCGAAACCGAAAAAAAGGGGGGGGAGCAGGAGGTAAGAAAGGGAGGAGGGGCCATTCCGCGCTAGAAGTGAAGCACTGCTTTGAAGCTTGGGTCACCAGACGGGGTGTTCTTTGTTTACATTCAGAAGCTCGCTTGACAAGATTCTGATAGTATTTCGACACACGACAGTTCCATAGAAATCGAAAAAGGGACACTCTCGCATGAAAGAAACATTCATAGTGTGATGGATAATAGCAATTTGTATAGTTTACTGACATTTACGCAAAAATCACATCTTGGTTATTTTTCGATAACTAACAACAGCGATTTTGATTATGAATTTGTTTTATAAAATTCTAAGCTGTTGCACTACAAAAAATATAGATTTTAAGAAAATTGCTAAAAGAGATCTGCCAAAATTTATTTTCTAGAAGATTTGAAAAGTTTGAAACTTGATGGCTAAATGTAAATATAAAATTATGTATGTTAAAATATTTGTAATTAGGCACATAGGTCAGATTTTTATTAGTTTATTAAATTAGAGTAATAAGTAACGCATGCAAGGGCTATCTGCCTAAAGAGAGAGATGCCATCGTGGAGGAATTTTGAAGAAAAACTGACCTTTGAGTGGGTATTAAAAATAATACTTATAATTTTCATTCAAATTATATTCATATATATTTTTTATGTAAAACTTTCGGGTGTATGCTAAATTAGTGTAAATTACTTTACACGAAAAATATAGTGAATGCACAGAAATTAAAATTAAAGATTTGCACATGCCGGAAATGATAAATAGGAAATATGTATGGGTATTTATGCATGTGCTTGCAAAAAGCATGTATCTGCCTTTGACAAAATACTTAAATATTCATTAAATTATTTATAAATGTATTTGAAATGAAGAATTTATTCACTTATAAACAACTGTGAAAGTACTGTGAAGAAATCTAATGATTAAATGTATCTAATTTATAATGATTATAAATGTTATCTAAATATATAATAACCTTAATATTGAATTGTAAACATAAATTGAAATCCTGTTGACAAATACGTTATAAAACTATTTAAGCAAGAATTGTTCGTATTGGAAAGCAATCTGTTAAAAGGTATTGTAAAGCAAATGCTATGAGATGCGCACTTAAGAACGTAATAAAGAGTTTTGGAATATGTATTGTTGAAATGAAGGGTAAAAAAAAAAAAAAATCTGATAAGTATAATTAAAAGAATTATTCCCTTTACATTTTATAATAACTCAGTTACAAGTTTTAAATAATACTTAAAAAAAAAAAAAAAAAAAACTTATTTTATTCCCTTTCAGAAATGTTCAGAGAAAGTCAAATACTATTTAATTTCCTAATAATTCTCTAATTTAAAATGAACCGAATAGAGCATTAATTATAAATTGACTTACATTTTTCGATTTAAAAGAAGCCAAAAAAATCATCATGTCATATTTAAGAAAGTATTTTAGGAAGAAGCTCTATAAATAGAAAAGAAATAATGCATAATTTTAATATTAATAATACAATAAACTTTGATCTTAATTTTTGTACCTTAACCGAATAAAAAATCGAATTACCTTAATTTTTTTTTCTAATGTAATTAACGAAAACTTGTGAAAATATTTCATTCAAATTAAACCATTCTGAGAAAACTGTCCTGTGAAAAGTATAGCATTTAATTCCGTTCAGAATGAAATGTTGTTTAAAAATATGTTGTTTTCACATACTTAGGACTCTGAAGTGTTGTAGAAAAAGAAAATATATACATTTATATGTATATTTGCGACGTACGTAATTACAAAATATTTACACCCGAACGCGTCAAATCCCATAGAACTCAATGGTAAATGACCCAATGTTTTGGTCACCACGTAGGGATCGCCGGTGCTTCAGAGCAGGGTACGGAGAAACTTGTTTAGGGCGACTCCATCTTACTTCCTACCTCCATGGATTGTGTGAGGCCTCAACGTTTGAGAATGGGCTAACCTTTATCTTTAAACGATTTTCATCAAAGCCAAATTAAGGCTAGTAAACATTAGCCAAAACAACGTGTGTTTCATTCTATTTTCACTTATTAATATTAAATTTCATTGTCTTATTTTATTGAATATAATAATCATTTAATATTCTAGTTGCTATCTATTTTCTAGTTGCTGCTATTCTAATTTTATCTATACTCTGGTAAACAGTACATTATTTGCTCATCAAAAAGCCTAAATTTAGCTAATGCTCGGCTTAGTTCTTAAATTGCAATTTTAGCCACAGCCCCCAAACAAGACGATGTTTGGTATTTTATTTCATTACTTAGTTATTCATCTTTAATTTAAGAATTAATTAAATTTTCATTTGTCTTTAAATTTTTATTGAATTATAATAATAATCCTTTAATATACTAGTTGCTAATTATTTTATTATTGTAATAGTTATTTTATTTATTTTTATTTATTTATTTATTTATTCATCTTTCCTGATGGCCTTCCATAGAGCTCCAGCACTTCTAATTTTAAAAATTAAGTCCTGACTACAACCAATGATTGCGAAAATAAAAGTCAAGTAACTTATTTAGTGATAATTAAATAAAATAAAAGCCAAAGCTTTTATTTTCGCCTTACTTGGCTTTATTTATATATATTATTATATAAATATTATATATTAAATTATATATAATAAAAATATTATATATATTATTATATAAATAAAAATATTATATATATTAAATTATATATAATATATATAATAAAAGCCAAGTAAGGCGAAAATAAAAGCTTTGGCTTTTATTTTATAATTATCACTATAAGTATATATATATATGTGTGTGTGTGTGTGTGTACTTTACATTTAATTATAAGGACATATATATATGTACTTTACATTTAATTATAATTTATTTGATATATATACACATATATACGTTTGGTAGTATTACCGATTGCAATAAAAAGGGAGGTGCACATCTAGATGTTATAACGGACCCATATACAAAATTTCAACGTTCTATAACTAACCGTTTTTGAGTTATGCAAAATGCATACATACGTACTTACACATCACGAAAAAAATCCCTTTCAAGTATCAACTTAGAGTCATAATCATTAGTCATAAGTATCAGCTTAGAGTAAATGGGATTACATTTAACAATAAGTTTTTTTGAAAAAAAAAAAAAAAAAAAAAAAAGAGAGAGAGAGAGAGAGAGAGAGTCCTTCATTGTGTTCGTGCAGGTCAGCCCAAAAAATAATTCACATGGATTCCGTAATCGTCAAAAAAACGGATATTTCCGTTAAAAATATGATACCCAAAAGTTTTCTCGATTACAATAATTACTACCATTTTATTTGATACAAGGAAGTAAAGAACCTATATTAACCTACATATTCTTATATAAAACAATACCTAAGTGCAGTATATAAATATTTCAAATCAATAAAATCTGACTATGGCACGCTCAAGAAAAAAAAAAAAAAAAAAAAAAAAAAAAAAAGATGAATCATCTAAATTTTCAAATTACAAACATAAATAGCAATAGTAAAAAAGCAAATACAAAATAACGCTTCACGCTATCAAAATTGCTCATTTCTTAAATATCAACAACTAAATAGTATTTTAAACAACTAAAACACATAATGTAAACAAGAGTTTGCCCGATGTCCAAAAAAATTCAAAATTATCTATGAAAAATATGAGCGCATAGTGACGCAACCGTATCATTCGTATTCGAACAGCAACCGCATCATTCGTATTCGCATAGAACCGCATCATTCGTACTCGAACAAACCGCATCGTACGACAGATGCGAGTAACGAAATGAATTTGTGAGTACCGAATCGGTACTTCGAGTCAACCAATGTACCCGTTACTCAGTAACGAATACATGCGGTTTGCTCCAGCTCTAATGAGTTACGATTTCGTTTTCTGTTTTGCAAACTTTTCAGGTTCTGTAGTGCGAAAAGTGGAAACTCTTTAACACGTCTTATTTAAACTACTAAGCACTGGTTAACTTTAACCAACAACTCTAGAAAAATTTGCATAAATTCTTATTCAAATATGTATACATAATCGGGTAAGAAATTCACATTTGTATGAAATATAGCAATTTTAAGCTAGTAAGAATTAGGTATGCAACATGTCGTTTAGACAAACGGGTAATATAAGCAAACATATACTTCTTCACACAGAAGAGAAGTCTCATGTATGTGAAGCCTGTAAAGTGACATTTAGTCATCAAGGTACTTTAAATGAGCATATGCGTATTCACACAGACGAGAAACCTTATGTTTGTGAAGTATGTAATAAGTCATTTAAGTATAAGGCTAGTTTAAAGATGCATCTGCCTATTCATTCAGGAAAGAGAGTGCACCTGTGTGAAGTATGTAAAAAGTCATTTATTCGAAAGTCTACATTGAACAAGCATATGCTTATTCACACACCAGAGAAACCTTATTTGTGTGAGGTATGTAACAAGTCATTTAGAGAAAAAGGTAATTTAAAGCACCATATGCTTACTCACACAGGAGAGAAGCCTCATGTGTGTGTAGTATGTAACAAGTCATTTAGAGAAAGAGGTAATTTAAAGAACCATATGCTTACCCACACAGGGGAAAAACCTCATGTGTGTGAAGAATGTAGCATGTCATTTGGACATAAACGTAGTTTAAACGACCACATGCTTATTCACAGATCAGAGAAACCTCATGTGTGTGAAATATGTAATAGGTCATTTTATAAAAAATATACTTTAAATAAGCATATGCTTATTCACACATTAGAAAGACCTCATGTGTGTGAGTTATGTAGCAAATCATTTAAACATAAAGCTGCTTTAAACCGACATAAGCTAATTCATACTGGTGAGAAACCTCATGTGTGTGAAGTATGCAATAAGTCATTTAGAGATATGAGTAAACTAAAAAAGCATATACTTATTCACACACGAAAAAATTGTCTTGTGTGTAAATTTTGTAACAAGTCGTTTCGAGTGAAAGGTGCTTTAGAGAAGCATCTTCTTATTCATACAGGAGATAAATCTTATGTGTCTGAAGTATGAAATAAGCTCTTTGATGAAAAGTATAGTTTGGATAAGCATAATGTTATTCACACGTTAGACAAACCTCGTATGTGTGAGGTATGTAGTATGCCATTTAGACATAAATTCAATTTAAACCAGCATATGCTTATTCACACAGAAGAGTAACTTCATTTGTGAGATATGCAAGTCATACTAAACTATCATTTAAATTAGTGTCTGTGTATCCACATAGGAGAGAAATCTCATGAATAAATGATTTAAACAGGAGTAAATTTGAAGAAATATAAATTTATCTGTGTAGATGTTTTTTTTTTTTTTTTTTTTTGAGGGAAAGCTTCATTAAGAACACTTGTAAATGCTGTTAAGGATTTTCTTATACCTCAAAGAAACATCACTGTGATAGGTGATTTGTCATTTGATCAAAATGCGAGTAATAACTCAAGAAACATTTCAGTGAAAGTTAGAAATTCATGTATATTAGATGAATGGGTATTTATGTATTAATGCCACAGCACTTCTACCCTTCTTAATAAAATTATTGAAAACATTGCAGCTGATAGCACAAAATTTATTCTGACAGTTGAAAGTTTACCAAACAAATAGAATAAAAAAAGAAGGATTCCTACATGCTAAAGTTAATCATAAATACAATTTTATTGATCGTGATACAGGAGTTCATACACAAACAGTTGAGAGATTGTGTGGTAGTGCTAAATGCAGGAATAAGAAACAGGAGGAGAGCAAGACATCTTTTAGAATCTTAAAGTTAATATGGGACAGCATCAGGTCAAAGACCATAGAGACTGTTTTGAATCTATGTTAAACTTTATATCTGTCTATTTTCGACTGACATCCGATTGACTACTTTGATTTTATATAAAGTGTTTTAATTTATGATTTGTCACAAAAATTTTGAGTGTAGCTTGGTGACACTTTAAAACCATCAAATCTGCAGCTGTGGTGGCGTTAATACATAAGTAACAATGAATGTACAATAATTGTTCTATGTTTTTAACAATAGTTTTATTTTGTATGTCTAATGTGAAATTGTTGTCGAGCAGCACAATTAAGTGCCAGTGATAGATCAGAGTATTGTCACGACACACTCATAGTATCTTCGCTTTCACTTTATGTAAGTTTTAATTTATGTTTCATAAGCTAATTTTGTTTTTCTGAAGAAGGATATAAATTAACTGTTATTGTTCTATTTTTATCTTGTATTTTGAAAACAATAATTTGAATTTGGGACATGTGTTGGATACGACAATAAATGTTCATCATTTTGTCCATTTATAAAAGCATTTCTACCTAAATAATCTCTGTAAAAATTTAAACACAACCAAACAAGTTTTTTTCTACCAAAATAGAACTTCTTACAACTGTTGCCACTCGAACAAAACTAAAGGGAAAAAATGTTACACTGGTTGAATGTGTATAGGAACAATGCTATACTTTACATACTCCCACCTTTTGATAACAGGATATTTATCAAAACAACTACAGTACAAAGTCCGTAATCCGGACGTCCATTATCTGGAATGATCTATAATCCAGACCTCAAAGCCATAAACTTACACATGCGTGCTTCCAATAGTGAAGTGACAGAGTTATTGAAAACGAAAAAATTTCAATTGACAAGTTAGTCGGTATTCTTGACACAGCAATTGCAGGACTTGAAAAGTGGAACTTTGTAACTGAACAAGAAATTATGTCTGTTTATAGAATTAAAGAGAAAGTACAGTACTAAGTCTTTAATCCGGACCTCAAAAGCTACAAACTTTCTGCGCATGCGCATAATACATTTATGCATGCATATTTAATGTATAACGGATGTTATAAGCTAGGCTAAAATTATCTATTTCAGTTAATGTTGCATATTGTGTTGTTCCTTAATCTTCTAATTGGATCCGCCTTATTATTTTTTGCAGACTGTTAGAGCAGTTTTACAAAAAGTAAGCTTGAACTTTCGATTATGTCAAAAAGAGTTTCCGATTCTGGAGCTGCCAAAGGATCTACAAAGCGAAAGCATGTTTCGATGTCCATCAAACAGAAATATGGAATAGCTGCAAAAATGGATAAAGGCATATCCTTTGTTTCTCTAACCATTCCGAAATCTGTTTATTAATTTCACGCTGCTCTGGGAGGGGGGTACGTTGCGGCGTGCAATGAACTGGAAGTTGATCTGTCAGCACTATCCTCATCTTCAGGGCAGATGTTTTTATTTTATTTGTATAATTCCTTAGTAAATGTAGTATTTCATCTCGATGTACTCCGTCTTTGATATGATTTAAATCAAATTCCTCGTCATTATAAATATCACGAATATACATGAAATAGTTTTCTGGTTGCAATTTTCTAATTTCAACTATGCGTAACGTATGCTTTACGCATGCGTGCATTGAAAGAAATGTTTAATAAAGTAAACAAATAAATAGTAAGCTTTTTTTAGATCATAATTGCTCTTTATTTCATAAATTAGGGATTCATATTTTTAATTTTATAATTTCTGCGTGGCATCTTACCAGATTTAAATTGATGATCTATAATCCGGAATCGCCGAAGTCCCGACGAGTCCAGATTACGGACTTTGTACTGTATTTAATTAAGCTAAAATTTAACCTAAAAGTTCATTTTGAAGTCTTAAAGTCTATTTTAAAGTTCAAAGTCCTTGGAACTAGAAGGCACTTTTATAGCTCAAATATTTCATAATCTAATGTGTAGCACTCATCCAAATATACATTAAGTGTTTTGCCATCTGGATCAAAAACTGGTTTAGATTTAGAGTTTACTTTATCAAATAAGGATTTCTTTCTAACTTTTATCCTTCCTGTGTGAGTTAACTCAATCATTTCTTTCTTAAGTTGTGATTTAGAATAACTTTTGGAATTTGTAATGTCAATGCGTGATGTTTCAGAAACACTTTCTTCAAGCTGTTTTTCACCGCACTGATCACTTTTACCTGGTCCAATCTCCATTATCGAGTTCCTCATCATATGGAAATTTTGGACATTTTTCTTTTTGAGTAGCATAATCATCATTAAAAAGCTCTTTCATTTTCTGGTCATGTTTTCTAGGATCAAAATCACTTTCAATATCATCTTTGTTAAGGTTGACTTCATCTTGCCCAGGCACTTCTTTCAACTTAAAAATTTTTTCAAGTTTTTTTTCTCTTTAAATCTTTCAAACGTTTTAGTTCTCTTTTATGCTCCTTCTTCCTTTTTTTTCTTTCAACATATTCTTCACGCTTCTTCTTTCTTTTATTATCAACATGTCTGAGAGAATCTTCAATCATCCTTGGATATCGTTTAATGAATTTTGTAACTGGTCTTCAAATCAGAAAATATACTTGTGTTGAAACAATTCTTGCTTTTTCTAATCTTTTCCATCACCACTTAGCACTGCAATATCTTTCTTCATAAATCAGAATCTCATCATTTTTATATTTTCTTTTTCTTATCTAAAATAAAATTTCTTATTCTCATCCGAGTTTGGATCATTCCTAATCTTCTTCAAAAAGACATTTCTTTTTAACATCTTTTGGTACTCCTTTTTCTTGACTTTTCAAACATTTTAAATAGCCAGCCTCTTCATCTTCTCTTAAGTTTACTGTAAAATCATCGTTTACGACCTTATCAATTTCACTTCTAGATTTCAATTCAAAGGGATCTGTAATGCCAATGGCTTCTAATTCTAAGAGATTTTTGATATCTTGATTTTGAATTAACCTTTCAGCATATGCGTATGCGCAAAATTTACAACAAATTCAGTTTTTAATGCACATTTTTCGCATATACGTCTTAAGGCCATTTCTATTCCTCCTTTCTACTTTTCCCCACATCATGGGAATATACCAACAGGAAGTCATTTGATTTTTTTTTTTTTTTTTTTTTTTTGTTAACTGTGCTTTGGTGCTATGTGGGAGCATTTTCATGAAAATTAAAACACGCACGTGGTTGTGTTTTAAAATTCGGAAAATATTTTTTTCCTCAAATATTTTGTAATTATGTGTTATTAATTGCCGTGTGTTATTTTAATTTGAATACATTTGGCTCTGTAAATTTTATATCGGTTTTCATGGGGAAAAAATATGTGCTACCAGCTGATTTTGCTCGGAAACTTCAAGATTTATCTGATGAAGAAAAGGAAACCTTTGGATGGGAGAACAATAACAATTTCCATTCCTTATTTTCTCTTATTGCAATTTTTTAGAAATAAATAAAAACATTAAAGTTACTTTAACCCTCTGAGCAGCCAGGGTTTTCACTAAGAAAGCCCAAATTTCCCAAAACTACTATGAGAACAAAGTATTTTTTGATTTTAATGAAAACCTCTTCTGGTATTTTATACCTTGATTTGTGTACTTTTGATATATTGCCTTAATTTGTTTGACATATTTTAATGTGCACTTAGATATACGTTCTTACAGATATCACAAAAAATATTCTAAGCCGTATATATACGGCCTTCCTGTTTAGAGGGTTAAAGTGTGTTTTCGTAACCAGTAAGAAGTAAATCACGCGCGCCTGTGGCACCACTTCAAAGCACTATTTAACCCCTTCGCGCCGACTGTCACGTATACATGCCAGCAACGAACACACTTATCTACCGGCCGACACGCGGGCATGCCAGAGCATTGTTGCGTTTTCTACCGACTGTCACGTATTTGTGCCAGTACCTTGGAACGTTTTTCAATCTATAATTTCTGCCACAAGATGGCACTGTATGTCCATATGGTTTCAGATACATGTACATTAGACCTTCTACTCGAAATGAGAGAAGCATGACTCACATACACGTGTTTTTGATTATGTAAACAAACGGGGAACTAAATGTGTCCGAATGGCGTGATTTATGACGTCTCTTTAAATCGCACTTTATTCGCACGTGGTAGTTGTTTATTGTAAGTAGAAGCTTTATATGCGCTAAAGCGTTGAGTATTTCCGTTTACAGTTCAGTTTTTAGAAAATAATTAGATCTTGTTAGACATGAATTCTTTCTGTTTTTACCATTTCAATGTTGAAGCATCGAAAATGTTTAACAGAGCATGAAATAGCAGAAATGATGCAAAATATTTCAGATATTGATTCTGAAAGATTAACTGAAAGACATTTTCCAAAACTTGGTTCAGAAGAGACTGATAAGAAAATACGACGATGATGCTTTGTTTGTTCACATTCCCGGAAAAATCCTCCAAAACGGCAAATGAGTTATTACGAGTTCAAGGAATGTAACGTAGGACTGTGTGTAGATCCCTGTTTTCAAATTTTTCATACGAAAAGAGAATTTTAAGTAATATATTTAGTTTTCAGATGTATAATGTTAAAAGTCATAAAATGGTGAGTAATTAAAATAACATGTGTAAAATATGTATTTAAACAAGAAATAAGGTAATTAAAGTATATATATAAAAATATCTATAAAGCATAAGCCGTTTAAATACTCTATACAGCATTATTAAACAATGCGTTGATACTTCGGAAATTTCATGGATTTAGGCTTAGTAGCAAAAAAGCCCCCGGCCCTGGAGAGATGCTGCCGGCCTCCGCGATAAGCACGCGTTTTCGCTACCTGGCTCGAAGGGGTTAAGGCTTGAAGTTTTCGACGATTTCAAGTTCGGGAATTGTGTTTTTTTCAAAAAAGAATCAATTATGCCTCATGGTAAACAGCGATCATCGCTTGATCCAAGTATCCGAGTTCGACAGAGGAAGGATAGTGGCCTACCGAGAGTGTGTGTTATCTTTCAGGGTAAACGTGTTAGACGAAACCAAACAACTGTAATGCAGATATGTGTCCACTGGAGGCAGGAGGGCACGACGTGTTCAATCGCATCCACCTCAGTGCACCACTTCACATGATGACAGGAACATTGTGCACAGGGCAGTGATGGATCGCTCAGTCACATAACGAACCATAGCACAGCACATTCAGTCTGTAATGCATCATCCAGAGTCTGCGCGTACCATTCGACGCCGTTTACAGCAGAATGGTCTGTCCGCAAGATGTCCATTGCTTCGTACCCTTGATGCAGAACCACAGACGTCTCCGCCACCAATGGTGCGATGAAAGAAGGATGCGGACGGCAGAATGGAATGAAATTGTCTTTACTGACGAGTCATGCTTCTGTCTGCAACACCCTGATGGTCGGATTCGAGTCTGGAGATACTGTGGAGAGAGGATGCTGAACAGCTGCATTATGCCCTGCCACAC